TTATTTTTAAATTTTTAGATTCACAGACCTTTAACAAACTTTATTTTGCAACAACAATACATTTAGAAATACTAAATTTTTGAAATTGACAAGTATATTTTCTACATGAAAATAGTTTCTAATCTAAAGTCTATCTTGCTAAATTAAGAAATAACATTATTAAATTCTTTCGTTATTCATAGACTAGCATATAACAGTAATATAATCTTAATCTCTTGTGACATAAGCTAGTTATGTTACTCTTTTCAGTAGTAAGTTAAAAAATTTTGAGTATTTTCTGGAAATGTACACCTTAAAAAATTGATATTGAAACCAAAATATTAAAAAATTTTATGGGATATTTTTATCATGATCTTTGTATATGTATGGTTCCACAATTATAAAGTTTTAGTTTAATTAGTATTATCAATTATATTTGATAATAAACAGAACATAGTTTTAGTTTGCCATATAAAATATCTCTTGCAACGACTATGTAAAAAAATTAATTTTTTTCATAAAAAAAATCTATGTGCTAAAACGAATCACGCTATGCATATTTTTTGAAACAAAAGTTTTCACAAATTCGTTTTGAAAATAATTAAAATTCAAGCCAAGATGATGTTTCCAAAAACTCTCAGTTAAGAAATAATTTATCTTTCTATATATATATATATATATATATATATATATTATAGAAACTAAAAGTATAATCTATGTAATTCAATCTCTGCAAAATTTATATATTTCTTCAAATAAAGGAAGAATTTTAACCGTTGTGCATAAGATATTTCCAATACAAATTTTATTAAATAATTAGTGTGATATTCTTATCATCATAAGAACAACAAGAGGTGATTCAATTCTAGTGACATAGATAATACGGGAGATTATAAATTGTACAATTTATTGGTCAAATCAGGTGGGGGAGTTAGTTCTTTATATTTAGGTAAAGTATGGAAAACAATAACATATAGTAATAATCAATTTGTCAACATCCAAACATCTGTCACAGTTATCTAAGTTGCAAACAAGGGAAAGTGGGTAGGTGAAAAGTTTGATCACCACTGATTTACTGGGCTGTCACATTGCAAAGATGTAGGACGCATTTCCGTGATACAGTGTTCGTGAATTTGTGTTGTTTTCTGGGCGCTTGCAAATTTCTAATCAGACTGTGGTTATATTTTTTTCAACTAAAGGTCAAGGATTTTAAGTGAAACAGACTTAAAATGATTAGTTTAAGTACTTTTACACTTTCAGCCTGGTTGCAGAGATAGAAATAAGATTTTTGGAAATTATTCATCTCGAATTTTGTGCGTGATACATTAACATCTATCTTCATGAGTCAGGTCCCTTTGATTCCTGTGATGCTGAAATATGATGAATCTAGCACGTTTCGAGATTACCTGATCGGTTCACAGCGGTGTTGGCCGCTGCTGAAATTTGCGAAGATTGCAGATGTTGGAGAAGACATTATCAGACTACTCTTTTGCATGTCCACAGTTCTCCCCCTCCGCCCTTTCTTACAGTTCTATCTCAAGAGACATGTTGTGTTTGCAATTTCAGCAAGCGTCTTACTGTATTCTCCCTCTTACTCCTCGGTCCATAACAATAAGCTTTCGTGTTTAATACCTCGACGCTTTTGATCTAATGCTCGAGGATCGGCGATCTCCTATCTGAAGTAGCATCCACATGCTCCTTTGGCGTTGTTCTAGTCTGACTTTGTCCTCGAGCCTTTGCTCCTGAATTATCAGACATTGGATTCATATCTGATACTGATCGGATCTTAAAGTCAATGATGTATTCTACCGACTCCGTGGGTAAAGACCTTTGTTCCATCTCCGTAGATTTTGCTGCAAGTTTATACCATTTCCAACTCCACTAGACAAATATTGCGGATGATTCAGGTTCTTGAGGTTTGACGACCTCACTCCCAAGGCAGAATTGTTACTGAATTGAGGGATGATCCTCGATTTGGTAGGAAATAAGTGTGCGACGGCGGAGCGCCTCCCAATTAATGATCTTTCACAATCAAGCGAGCTCATGATAAAAATGAGATCAACGAGCCGATCTCGCACTACAAGCACGAGTATGAAATAATACTTCTTATCGAAACACACCTCAACTGACTGGGTCATGCGCTTTGGTAAACCAAGAGTACACAATGATGATTACATTAGCAAATATACGCAATTCCAGCTCTAGTCAACAAGAGAAAATTCAAAAAAATGCATGACAATGTACGTACTACTTACGTAATTTCACACAAAATAGGTTTATGAAATCAGAATGGGAGAAGATTTAGAAACTCACACAATATTGAGTGCTTACTATTTAATAGAGCTCGCAATACACGAAAGGATTTTCTTTAATCACTAGCCATTGACCTAAATATGTGTGATATCAGAATACATACTTATCACTCACGTACAAAGAGTTTGCTGTTGGACTGAGCTCTCGTAAGAACTTTATAAAAGACACATTTTTCAGTTGTAAAAGGCTTGTTTGAAGTTGGGATAGTCGCTACGTATATATATATATATCGAATTTCTATGTTTCTTGTTCACATATTTGCATTTCAATCAGCAATGAGAAGTCAGTAATATTCTTCAGCTTGAAATGAGTGAAGTAACTGTTGTCCTGTTAATGAATAGTACTTGTGCGTAGGATTAAACCCTAATACCCGGCAGCTGCGCTGTGAGTTGCAATTATGTCCTCCACATGTAGCATGTGTTTGGAAAAGTGTAAGAGACTTTCTTGCACGACGGACGGTGATTGAATTTTCCTTTTACACTATATGATACTTCTACTCACAATTGTTGTGTATTTCTTCGATTCTATTTCAATCCATTCGAATTAATATGCAGATTCTGTTCATCATAGACTTGACTTTTGTTCGTTTGACAGAGGGGAAAGAGCTGGACTCAATGGGTTCACTTCCACTCGGGGCACAAAAGTATTCATCTGGTTTTTACCATCGATCCCACCTATCTTACCTTCTAAAAGTCCTGCACTTCCTCGTAATCCAGTTCTTGTTTGCACTACAATATACAATCACGGGTTCTCCACCGGTGATTCCATCTCCATCATTACTCTTATCTACCTCTCTAAAATCGTTCAGTACATCTTGAATTTGTTCACTTACCGGAGTCTAACAGTGATCCGAAGTAACCCAATGTTCTAATTTGCAAATATTACAAAAACATATTTTTAAAAGAACAAATACAACAACAGGTACAAGAATAATATCATATAAAACATATACTAGAACTCATCGAGGATATCCCCTCCGAGGTGTCACATTGGATAAATCAAATATTGACACATTGGATAAATCGAAGATTGACGTGTCCCATCAAAAATATATTTGATGGGACCATCAAGCTAAATCTACAAGTAGTGAGACAACGGTTTTGTTTTTATATCCCAAAATTCTGTGATGTTTACAAATTGGAGATCGCTCTTAATTTCCTCAGATATATGGGCGTCTATCAAATGTACGCATGTGGTAACCCACTTTTTGTTTTTTGTCGGAACTAAAACATTTTTGAATAGTAAGTACTGCGGCAGCAGCTGTAAATAGTAATCGGTACGCGAAACCAGAGTAAAAAGAGGATCGAGGACAGTCAAGGAGTTTTGGGCTTAGGCCACAGTGGGACGCTTGGGACGGAACGGGCGGTTCATGCTGCAGGATCCGCTTCGAGCACCTTCGGCGGTAGATCACTCATAACTTTCTCAATTCGTAGCGCCTTGAGTTGCTTCGGGTCTTGTTGGAAAGAGCTTGCGACACTCGTTCTAACGAGCCCAAGAACTTGTGAAACGGATGAGAGGTCACTGAGTTATGAGTGTCGGAAGTTACTGATGGGGGGCCTTTGGCGGTAGGCCTTCGGCGGAAGAACCGCCGGAAGATGCGCCTTGGGCGGTAGACGCCTTCACTCTTAGTAGGGATCTCCTATCATTGTCTTTGGAATTCGGTCTAACAGATCTCTGGAGATAGCTTCCACCCCTAAGATTAATTCAGACTGATAGTGATGATATGCTTGTTTCCAATCTCTATGACGCTGACCCTTATTTTCTCCGAGCCAGAAAAACATACGACCTCATCAAAAGCACATTTAAATTTGGATGGGATCTGAAAGACGGGATTCCTTGAATAACGCTATGACAGGCATAACACAAATGTACACGGTTTTTCCTGGCGGTGTATCCACATAGTGCCTGCTTACATAGTTGACAAGTTCTACAGATGATTCTCTATCTGAGACAGAAATGGACAATTCTCTGCTACGATGGTTTTCGCTCCTCACACTTGCAGGTAACTGCTGTAGAATGTGTCTGAGCCCACACCTGTTCGTCATTGAGAACGCGTCATTCTCTTCAATAGTTGTTCCGCAAGGAACCATGAAAACGCACAGCAAGCTAGAAAGAATTTTACAACTTGGTGTGCAGGTACATTTCTATTCTGCAAACTGCAGAATTGTAAAGCATCTTCTCGTGGCTGGGAGGTGAAATCAAGTTTTAGCTCCTATTTCCGGCATCCGGTATGGTACATGGATGCATAGCCTTGGGACTTGGGTCGTTGACTTCTTCACGCTTAGTTCATTGAACCATGACTCCTGCTGACCCGTTCAGAGATGTAACTATTCCAGGTCGAGGTCCAGAGATTCAGGGATCCCTGATCCATGTGCCTTGTAAAGATGTCTCTGTACTTTTGAATGCAGTGAGGAAGCTTTGTGGTAGCTAACGGTTTGTTTCTACTAGATTCAAATTGAAAGTACATTTCGATCATTTGGATAGATTTATCGATCTTCAGGCCTCAAAATGGCAAATCGAGTAGGAAGGATTGATCTCCCATCAAGACAGACAGCTAGAAGAATAGGCCAATCGCTAGATTGGGAAAACTGTGGCTGCCGAACTTCTAGAACTCGTGTATCCTACATCAATCTCTATCACAAGAACTTTGAAGTTTCTGAGCGCATCGACGAATGTCTCGATGCCTCGCCCATACAAACATCTGCAGGAAGTGCTCAAACATCATTTTTCGAACATTACCGTGATGATAGCTCGACATAATACCTTTCCATATCTATCAATCAGTTCATGCTGCTTCAAAATGTAGATGCCAATAATGACAGTTCTCGTGTCATTAACTCTGACAAGAGATTGAAATTTAGAAATTCTCATCACCGACACAATATTCTGATACTGTATGTTGATCAGGAAGTTTGAAGGACATCTCCTTCGCAGTGGAGTGGCAGAGACAAATTCTCACAAGTCATCCACTGGACGCACTACATCCACTGTGGAGATCATCTACCTAAGAACGGGTATACTTCCAAATTGCCCGATGTGATGGAGGGCTACATAGATATGTGGTCTAGATTCAAAATGAATTATGATGATCATGGTGGCACGAAGAGAGAAACTATAGCAGACTCTGAGGACCGCGCAGTTGGCAACTCTTCATGTTAAGAGGTGACAAGAGCATTGCACCCGATATCTCATTTGGAAACATGTGGAGTCAAGCAGGAGAGTATCGGTTTTGATTACTCTCAAATGTAGCTGTCAAAGACTCGCTTGGCCCATATTCAACCGAGCGGACAATTTGGTGATGCATTTGGCGCGTCAGGATGGGTAACTTTCAAAGGAGAACCCTGTAAAATAACTACGACTCGTGATTTGAAGAACACCGGTGACAATGCCATAGGGCTGCTTTAGAAGGTAGGAATTTGATCCTATTTCCATCTCTTGTTCTGTACACCACCATGAGATTATCCGTTCTCCTCTGTATTCTTGCTCCACGCTTGCCACTTTTTCTCATCGGTCTGTAAGTTGCATGGCCCGCAGTGTGCATTTCACCGATCTTTTTCTGTGTTACAAGGATCCCAATGTCTGAAGATCATCATGAACAGAAAATCTGAAACTAGAGAAACAGTTTGAGATCAACTAGAGTCTTCAGTGTTGAACTTCTTTAGGGACCCTACGGATCGTAGTTACTCTTTTGTCTTGCATTTAAATCTAAGCAGTATGATGCCAGTTCTAACAAGGATAAAATAATTCGTGTCTACATCATAACATTGAGAGTAGCTGGTGTGATTGCAAGAGTCAACTTTTTTAATCGAAGTACTGTCGTATTTATTTAGACCATTACCCTGACTCATTCAGATAATGGACTCACTTCTGAATATGTATACTTCAACTTATAAAACATTATCTCGCAGTGTAGGTCTTTGTTTATGATGATTATCCATGTTAGTTTCCCAGTAGTATAAACTGAGCGGAAGAACGAGACAATGAGTAGGCCAATGCCGGAGTGATGCAAAATGCTTGTAGCAGGCTTCTCAACCGATTTGTATGTCGGGATCATGATATTGAACATACATACAGTACATGACAGTAAGGTGCCAACTTCCTAATCAACCTATAGGATGACATTAGGGACTGAGTGCTTTAGATATCACATTCTCCAATTCCTCCCCTCCGTTTACCTATGTGATTAAAAAAATACACTGGGTCATCTGGGGACGAAGTTTCATTTAATTCTCTACGCTACTATTTTGTGGGAAAGTTTGGCCAAATTTAGTGTTGTTGCGCTTCTATTTTCCAGAAATCCGAAAAGCCAATGTTGGAAATAGGCCCCAATTTACATCCTTACTTACTGCTGTATACAACTTCAAATCCTGTTTGACACTTTTCTCTTCAATTGCTTTCCTACACTGTGTATCTCGAACTCTTCGTATGTTTACCAGTCTCACTGATGAATCGCATCATGGATAACTCTACTCAAACTCAAAATTGGGTTTCTCTACCGGGTGTTTTCCCTGTAGCATCTGGTAGACTCCATGATTGGCATCAGTCAAAACACGTCGAAAAGCTCAACTGCTACGTCTGGTGCTTTTCAGAGAACCAGTTGAAATTTTCAGTGAGGGCAGCAACTACGAAAGCACGTCTATCCCCGATGCCTCAGTGCACTCCGTGCACAGCAACATACAATATATCCGAGACAAAATTTGAGCAATGTTTTATCTACTGGGATGATCCTACATGCAAAATAATTAGAATGGAGTGATCTGGAAATCTAGGGCTTTCACTTTACCTAAGGGGGAAGAAAACTCAATGTGCACTCCGAAAGCAGTTGGTTCATTAGCCTGTGCAGCCTTTGCACATGTTGCGGGAAGTTTCACAAGGAGTAACAGATCTTACTGATATCACTGACTGTAATGAGTACTGCCTTTCATGATCACAGCCTTGCCTCAAATTTAACTGACCTCCAACTGAACTGATATGACAACTGTGTCCACTGACAGCAAGAGTTGGAAACTGAACTCGCATGCGTATTGCCTCCACCAACATTGAGAACGAAGTGGAGGTTGAGTACTCACACAGCGGAAAGTCGGGTCAACAAAGCACTCACTCACCTGATTCCTGGTATGTCGGTAGGTGTTGTTGCTTGCCTAAAGAAAGCATAAGCACCGACCTGTTATCATCAATAAACACTTCTTAATTCCTTACGGAAGTCTATTGAATTAATCAAAGCGTCTACCGCATGGAATACATCCAACATTACGAAGACTGTAGCTCTCACTCTCACTGTCTATTCAGGGAGACGAAGATTCAATCCTTGAGACCTCCACGTTTCGGGTTTGAAGATGTCACGGCTTGGACGAGAGAGATTCATCAGGAAATTAAGGAGGTCCGGGGCACAAATGAAACTGCTCAATCAGTGTGCTCTGTGAGGATGACAGTATCGATGGGTCGACCTAAAATTTAGACTCTGCATCGAATATACGACACTGACGCGATCTCACAGATAATTCAACAATCTCAACTATTAACTCATGAAGCTTGAATTATTGTTGGTAGTCGAAACGCCAAAGGTCCACAGATGCAGATACGAATCTCTTTCGCGCACAGTTTCCTTCTCGGTTCAGATTCGATTGCGATTCTAGAAGGATCTTTATCTACACTGTCCACATGACTCACTGTGTTCTGTTCTGTGAATGGGTTTCGACGATAAAATATTCTTAAGATTTGGCGTTTCGGTCAGCCAACCCTAATGGCTTCTGCCCTCCCGTTCCATGCTTCCGTCCAGGACTCCCGGGGAATATGTGGGGACAGATGTTTATGTGTCGCCCCATGGAAATGTCACCTTCACTCCAGGCCTCTTGTTGTCGCATGTGTTTCCACATAAAGCTCGTAGAGGGCAAAATATGAGTGATGATGCCTTCCTTGTTCTCGAAGCACAGAAGACCAAATGCCGAAGGGCGTTGCCAAACTTTGTCTCATTACTGGGCTGTTGTCAAAAACTGCGTGTCTTGAAGATTTGCGAAATTAATGATTTTCAAAATTTCCCAAGTTAACTAAGGCAAAACAAATAAATGCCTGAATGTCATGATACATGTGCAACAAAGCTGAGAAGCACCTAATCATCTATAATAATGGTGTATATTATGTCTTAATTTTTTATTTTACCTCCATTCTTCAGTTTATACATTTGGAATGACTCCAAGAACATAACACTCATTTACAAGGAGACAGTGAGAGACGAGGGATAAAAAAGATTTCGATTCACTATGAGTCAGACCGAAAATCTCACACCACAGTAATAAGATTTGTGTATCATCGTAATAACAGATTGTAAAGAAATTGCACTTTATTATCGAAAAAGTCAAGAAAATCATCTCGTAAAGGTTTTAATAAAATACGATTAGTCCATGAAAATCATTCTTACATTATACACGCTCGATCTAATTTTTCAGTGATTATATTTTTGCATCTAATCTTGCGTTGCATCGCATCTTTGGAAACAATGATCCGTGATAATTGTTTATCAACCGCGATCCTCATGAACTGTGATTGTGCACTGATTTCTCTTCAAAAATCGTGATCAAGAAAAATAACTTTTTGTAAATTTTTAAAGACTCACTGTTATGAATTAGAGCTCGTGTGTGGTGGTGTACTTATAGGAAGGAAAGATATATGTAGTGAATTCTTTCCGATCGTTTTATTTTCAAAACTATTGAATTTGTTACTTTCTTCATATTTGCTAAGACTTTAGAATTAATCTTGCATGTAGATGTGTATCATGATAATGGAATCTTTTTATTTATTGAAGCAAATAATAGAATACACGATGCCATTAGTGGTTTCCTCAATATTACACAACTTAGGGTTCATAAAAAACTAATTTCAATCCTCAATAGAAACTAGAATCTAACAATTATGACAGACGCTTGTGATGTATATAGATGTGGTTGATGTTCTGGCGAAGGTGGAAGGAAATTCAAAGGACCTATGAGAAAGTAAATATTGGGTGATGATATTTCACAAGTAGAGTCAAAACTTGCAATTCTGGCTATCAAAGGCTTACTTTTTCAACCCTTCAATAACACTGCACCTGATAAGAAAAGGCTGTCATATGGGTATATCATCAACCTGCCAATTTAATAATAATAACTTTAATTAGCTTCCGTTAAGACGTATATATATAAGTCAAAGTTACCATTAATGATGTGTAGATCAGTCACCAAGTATTCACACTCGTGCACGATATTTAGCTTGTGTAGATGACTTTCAGTCTGTAAATTGTGAAGATTCCATACGAATTGTATACTATTGCAGTATACACTAAATAAAGGATGGAGACCTCAGGCATCGAACTACATGTGCCAACATTTCGTTCTTAGAAATTTTGAGACTCAAAGTTCGTTTCCTGGCATGAAGTTTAATATCTAGACTGCTGCAAGTTTTTTTCCCTTTTTCTTTTCTCCGATTCCGGGATCTAATGAATTTTGAGCTAGTGTCTTCACTATACGTAAGCGGATCCTGAATGGATGAAAGATCGGGGGTTGAATTTCAATGATATCTTGTGATATATCGAGGAACACAATGAGACGATAAAGTGGAGCTGAATATTCGATAGAAAGTCGCAATTCCATATCTTAGAATGTCAAAGTAAATCTTCGGAAAGGGAAGTTACTCATTGCACCTCGGCTTTCTTTCCATGCGAAAAAGGCGAGCACCGCAGCCGAGCTCACAGATGTCAAAGGCTCTAAACTTGACGTCGAGACACCCAAAATCAGTTGAAAATATAAAATCCCAACAATTTATGACTGCGAAAAGGTTCGAGGATGTCTCTACTGCAGTGCTCGGAGAATATGCCTGAGAGCCAATTCCGTATGTGGCTTCTGGATGTATGAGCTCGTCCCTTTTTATCCTGGCTACGATAGTAGGATCTCGATCGTCCGTCCTATGACTCTCTTAAGGTAGCCAAATGCCTCGTCATCTAATTAGTGACGCGCATGAATGGATTAACGAGATTCCCACTGTCCCTATCTACTATCTACTATCTACTGTCAGGACATTGGAAGAAATCGGGGGCCAAGTGGACATTCTAGAAGGCCAAATTCAAGGAGTAATGGATCGGCCGTGGACGCAGATCACACCCGGCCAAATAAAGTCTTGAGGGGATACTTTAAAATTAAGAACATTCTTGCAAAGCCGAGGATAAGTGCCAAACGTAGACCAGGACCAAGTCAGCACGAAGCGGGATCATCGGGAGCCAAGAACAGTTCACGTGAGGAACCAGGACGACGAGATCGACGGGAGCGTCACGGGACTCACAGCTCCGTCGGCAGGAGGTCGAGAATCCAGATGGGCATCGGACGGCCGTCGGCGAGAGAAGAAGACTTCGAGCGGGGGGTGTGGAGCTAGGAGGCCTCGGCCAATGGGGGCCGGCCGCGTGGAGGCGCCAGGCGGGCTCACGACCTCTTCCGTCTGCGGGTTCGAAAAAAATTATGAGCCCTTGTCTCGGAGCGTCTCGGTCGCCTGCAGCGGCCAGCGCGTGCTCAAGTTTGGACCGGGCCGACGCATGGGCGCGGAGCTGGACGAGGAGGCAGCAGCGGAGGAGGCGCGCGAGAAGATTGTGATGATGGATGGGCATGGGGCCGATGGGCATGCCGAATTTCGCCAGCCTCGGTGCCCAAACCGCGGAGCTCTTATAATACGGGCCCGCGTGATGGCGCTCTTGCTGGTGCTGCCCGAATGCCGAACGGGGTTGGTGGGCGAGCAAGAAGCTGTGCAGGAAGCGGAGGAGGAGGAGGAGCTGGCGTAAGAGCGAGCGCAGAATCCTCAAGCAGCAGCAGCATCTCGATCGCCAGCCGCAGGAGGAGGACGAGGAGAGGACGAGGAGGAGGCTCGGTCACCGATGTAGAGGGAGGAGGACAGGGTCGACGATGCTCGTCATGGATGTGTAGCTGGAGGTGATGGGGACGGAGACGGAGATGGCGATCGCGAGAGGATGAGATCGGTTGACAAGGAGTCGAGGTCGAATGGAAGGATGGCGAGGACTCGGGCGGAGGTCAATCAGCGGTCGTCGACGTGAAAGTCTTTGAGGGTTTTGACGTTTTGTGCGCAAGACGGTAAATAATGGAGTTTCGGGTTTTTGTTTTTCTCATGTAACTTTTCGGCAGACGACGAATTATGCGCGGAGGCCCGCCGTGCTTAAGCTCTTGGGGGTCGGATGTGCCACTTATTTTAGAGATCGGGGCGCGTGCGGCGAGCGAGCTGGACAGGAGATTTTCTCGTCGGAGGTTGGAGCGTAGTGTGACATGATGCTAGCTCTGTAAGCTGTGCTTTCGAGAGCAGTAGATTTGGCGAATCTTGAGTAAATGTTCGAAACCGGCTGGGTGGATCTTCGTTCTGTCGGCTTGAAAAGTAGTTCCGAGCGAATTTGAAGTTCGGTCTCGGTTTAGTCGAACTTGACAGGATATACCGCAGGCACATGTGGTGGATTGAGCGTTTCTCTTCGGGTTGCATGCGGCGGGAGAATTAGAGAACTGGGCTCGATTGAGGACTCATATGGCTTGGTGTAAGCGGGGATGGGCTGCAGCCGTAGAGAAGGCAATGCCAATGTGACTCTCGGAGAATTCGTTGGATGCGTCGTCGAAGGATATGCAGAATATATATTCCACGGAATTAAGTGGCCTGCCCAGGACTCTGTCGGCCCCAACTCACCAGTCTGTATCAGTCAGTCATGAAGTTGAGGAGGATTTTGCCTCCGTAAACAGCTCTGAGCAGGTACCTAACCGAAGAGTTCATCATATCGAAAAATTTGCTCACCAGATTTACAATAATTCTCTTCACCAGAGCTGTATCAATTAGGTCCTTCGGAATAATTTTCTGGCAGGTCTCTACAGGTGCAAAAGTGAATTTTTCCTCCTCACCGATCCAATATAGCAGTTTTGGGAACCGCGATTTGGTGTCTGTCGAGTCGATGGTTCACATCCACGCTAGGTTAGGCTCCTTCAGTCGCAACAAATATCGTGGACAGTCTTTTCCTATCTTCTTCCACCATTTACTCGTTCTCTGGTTTAATCACGAGGAATAACAAGTGAAACTCATGATTTGTCTGAGCGCGTTTGAGAATGAGAACCTTTGCACTATCTATGTTTGTTGGACTGTACACTTAGCTCAGAGCCAAAAGCCGTAATGCTGAAGCCACAAAGCCGATATTTCGCATCGGAAGAACTCTTCACAGTTGCTCCGAAGGCTGAGGATACCGAAGTCTTTTTAACCCGGAATTTTTGTTCGAAGGATCAGTTAAAAGCTGGAGCGACAGGTTTTTTGTCGATACATAAGAATTTCTTTCGCTTACACGTTCTTACTTCCTCCGATTCTTCATTCTAATACTATGGGGACAGTTAACGCTAATTGTCTGCTCTTCACAAAAGTCCAGCTTCTTTACTCATAATGTTGAACGAAGCGGTTTTAAGGTTGTTTGAGGACGATACTGTACACCTTGCACTGACTGCAAAGAGTAAAGGCTCATGATATTACATTGTCTTCACTACTTATCCCCTTTCTTTTTCCCGGTCTTTGAGGACCGAAGTGTTTCTGTCAGATTGCCTTACCTTCAGTTCTTGCTTGATGCATTGTAAGTACCAGGTGCTGTGATCGGAGTATCTGACTCCGAAAATTCAAAGGACGTGCATGTGTACCAAATTCTTATCGATGCAAGCTCACTTGCTATTAGTTGACTTTCCTCTTGTTTATCTTCTTGATATAACTGGTTATTGATATTAATGCTTCACGGGAACACCATCACACAGTACAGAACATTGTTGATCATGGTGTGCTGATACACCAGCGAAACTAAGACTCTGGACTCATGATGAGTCCTCACTCGCGCTTTTGGTTGTCGCCTTGAGTCTTTCGTTCTTACTCATGCGTGTAGGAGGACTACCATGCTTACCAATTACCAGATCATTAGTTTGATGGAGCCGTCAGTATTTAGGGAACTGAGTCTCATTAATATCACTTCTTGACTCCTTTCTGTTACAATAGACAAAGTTTTCACCTTTTTTTTCAAAGGGATGATTGATTCACAAACTTGCAATTCAAACTTGGTTCAAGTTCAAGCAAGTGATCAGCAGATTCCATGTCTGTCGTGTAACAGCATGTTTTAAAGCTAGGGGTGCTTTTGGTTGCTGTTCAGGATGGACAGAGCAGTGTCGGTGAAGGAAGTTGTACTCCCCCGCCGCTGGGGAGAACACCGGAGCCTGCAAGAAAGTGGAGGGATGTTTTCTGGCTCTTCTTATTTCTTGTGCAAACAGCACTTGTCGGATTCCTCCTTGCCGTACTGGGCATTAACAGGTACAGAAGGGATAATAGGTTCGCAAAGCTTGCAAGATTTCAATCATCAGATGGGCTTCAGACACAGGAGTTTTGGCCTATTTTCGGGACTGCAGCAGCAATAGGAGCGGTGCTTGGATGGGCAATGCTGACTATAATCTGCATACGAGCTAATCAGTTGATCAAGGTTGCAGTACACAGTGTTACAACTTATCTGGCAATCGTCAGTGTCTTTTGTTTCTGGGATGAGGAGATTTTCTGGGGAATCGCATTTGCTATCGGAGCTGCTTTGCAGTTTATGTATGCGATATCTGTAATGGACAGGTATGTCATCCTTAACCGTGCCCTGGACTTGTCTCGCTCAACCTATTTCGCAAACATTCTTCAAGGAGTTTCGACACATCTAAAATCTCGCATCAGATGAACGGATTTTAATAAATTACTGTTTAATAGCGGACTTTGACTTTTGAGCACTAGGTTTCTCATATCTTTAGCAGCTTGTAGGTTTGAGATATTTATTTACGTTGGTTGTCTTGTGTTTAAGAATTTTTAAAATTTTTTCTGTCATTGGGTCACTATTTCATTTTATTCTCTATTGAGGCTGCAGCACATGATCACTGTCTGCAGTAAACCCCGAAACCCTCAATTCCTGACATATGACTAAAATTGTCCAGGCTACCATTTTCAATACTGATGATAAAAATGGCCGCCACTATGCTGTTGGGTCTTCCTGCAACGATAAGGGTCTGCTACGGCTTCATTCTGGCAATGCTTGCATGGATGGTTCTTTGGTCCTTTGGCGTATCAGGTGTTGTATCTTCTGGCATGGATGACGGTGCACGATGGTGGATTCTGTTGGTGAGTGATTTTCGGAATTGCTGTTGGGTTCAACCGAATACAACCTACTGTTGTGTGCATGCTGTTTATTATCTATATCGCGGTTTAAGGTTTTCAAACCTGGATTGAAAGAAGAATATGTGCATCATGTCTGGAGTTCTCTTGCTCACTACATCTACTCCGCTTGTTGGTCATTGCAGGCTCTTGCAGTCAGTCTCTTCTGGACAGGAGCTATTTTTTGTAACACAGTTCATGTAATTGTAGCTGGTGTCATTTTCCTACTGCTCTCTAGTGGAGCTCAAGGTCAAGTCGTTTTGCCTTCACGTCCTATAATGAGATCACTTCGCCATGCAATCACTACCTCTATGGGAAGCATTTGCTACGGATCTCTCTTCACTGCTGCCATTCGTGTTTTTCGTTGGTCGGTTAGTAACACCTTTTTTCCTTACCTGTTCTGTGAACATGATAGTGAACGTGTAATGCCTTAGGAGCACGTGCAGAATCAAAAGCGCAGTCCACTGAAAAATCCTGCTGAAGAGTTCATGATTGATTGGTTTATTCAACTGTTGTTTTCTTCCCCTTCGTGAGTGAAAGTAAATGATCTTTAAATTTCGGCGCCTGCTTACATTGTCGGACTAACAGATGGTTGCTTGTTAACAGATTAGAGGTCTCAGATCGCGTATAGGCAAAAACGAGTGCCTGCTTTGCTGTGTTGACTTTCTGTTCAACATTGTAGAAATCTTAGTCCGCTTTTTCAACAAATACGCCTTTGTACAGGTCTCCTTTCATATCCTCTTCCATGATCAGTAATCAGGATTATTTTAAATTGACCTTTGTTGTAATGCAGAGGACCTCTTTCATCGCTAAAAAATTATGTAGCTTAATGTTCGTTTTTTTTTCAAAATAAGTGATTCGTAAGGTAGTTCTTTTTTTTTAAATAAGTGATTTGTAAGGTAGTTCTTATCTTGATATCGGTTGAACCAAATATTAAATTGCATGTTCGACTATAGTTTAACGTCTATTGGGATTGTTGCAGGTAGCTGTGTATGGGAAAGGCTTCAATCATGGTGCCAGAGATTCTTGGGAACTCTTCCAGTCCACTGGTGTTGAGGCGCTTATAGCCTATGATCTCACAGGAGCTATTCTGTTGATGGTGACTGTGCTTGGAGGCTTAATGACTGGCACTGGCGTAGGCATATGGGCGTGGTATAAGGAGGAGAGCAGAGTGATTATGGTCGGATCCACCGCAATGCTCATGGGAATGGTTTTGGTGGGTTTCATCTTCTCCCTCAGCGAAAGTGATGATTGCTTGCCCATCGCTATTACTGTTCTCTAATAGGTTTTTCGCCCTGATTAGTTCGTGTTGACTTGGGTTGAATCACCGACATGTTTGAGACCACTCATGAGTCAAGAATTTGATTGCCCTTGGCAGGTGGGTTTGTGCATGGTGGTAGTGGAGGGTGCTGTAACCTCTATATATATCTGCTATGCGGAGGATCCTGCTTTGATCAGCAGATGGAATCCTGAGTTTGCCGATCAAATTGCTGAAACGTTACATCAACGGTTTCAACATCGGAGCGGGAGGGATGTTCCTGCCCATATGGTTGGAGTGCAGCTTCCAAAGCCTTTACCTGAGATTTCATGATCTCAATGTATAGGTAGATAGTGTCCAAAACCACCATGATATAGGTTAATCTCGAAGCCAAGGACGAACATGGTGGTCCGATAGGCTTCTGAGGGTAGAGATCCATTTTTTAAAGATAGATGGCCATTTTAAGTTTGAGGAGTTCCGTTTGCGATTGTTCATACAGCCTATCCGAGCTCCTTGCCAGTATGTTTCAAGAGAATAGTTTCCCAGAGAAGAATCTGGGATCAAATTGGGATTTGCTCGCAAATCACTGTGAAGTAGAAGCAGTTTCTTTTAGAATGAGACGCGTTTGTAATTATCTTAACAGTCGATTTTCTGAAGTTTGAATGACTGGAATGTGTATGAATGGAAGGAACTACGCCACGCTCTATCTACCATGGCAGTTACGGTGCTAAAACGGGAAGCCACATTTTAATGGAGTAAGAAAGAGGAGCAATGACGTCAACATTGTAAGTGTGCATAACGCGAGGACTGTACTTCTTTGTTACACCAAATCATTTTCCAATCCTTACTCTCTCCATTATTCACATCGTTACAAAACGCGTTACTAGCCGACAGATATGTAGTATAAAACACATAACCGGGCCATCAAATTCATGTTGAAACTCTCTGGTCTAATTCGGAATTGAGAACGTCTGTAAGTACTGAAGGACTTATTGAACTGAAAATGTATATACAAAATACTTACCGGTAAGCATATAAAGTGAAATGTGGGCCTGCTCCTACGCGTGTACCATTTTCGTGGTCAACGTCTCGAAATATTAAAAGTGTGGAACAAATACGGCCATCTTGTTGGATTGCTATGCTTCAGCAGTTCACAAAAATCTGCATATTTATCACATTTTTTTTCTTAAATCTGCATACTTGTAACATGTTTTCACATATCAAGAAAACTAACTGAATACAATCATTCTTACTTTTAATTTGATACTAGACTAGTTCTTGTGGACACTTCATTCCCGAAGTTCCTGTTATTGAAGCCTTGTTACAATTCAGAACAATTCACAGTCAAGAGGGAAACTCTAATTCTCGATATCAAGGTCAGTAAGTAAATAAATAAATACCGTACTTCACAAATTCAATGCTAAACAAAAAAATCGTTGTATAGAGTGATGCACTATTTACTGTGAAAGTAATTTTTTTTTAAATCACTCTTGAAGATTTTTTTTTTAAGCAATTACCCGATCCATCTAGAACCTGTTGCTCGTCATACCTCCATGATATCAATACGGCGAAACTTTTTTTTTGTTCTAAACCTTTCGTTTGTAGCTGTCTTTACTTGTTATCACCTTTAAATGCCGAAAATGAAGAGGTTCTTGTTGTCAAATCGTGAGAATCAAAAGTGGGTGGATGCTCAAGAGAATCCGAGAAAATCTCAAATGAATGTTGAGGACGTTTCACGATTGGTTCGTGGTGAATTCTTTCCAAAACTTCATCCAGAGACTATCAAGTCTTCAGCAATGGCAAACTCAAGTTCTGTTCCGAAGGATATCGTCAATGAGGCGAGCAGTTACAAGTTCTGTTCCGAAGGATATCTTCAATGAGGCGAGCAGTTACACCGTTCTTTGATGAGAAGCTTTAAAGGCTAGAGAAAATCAAACAACTTCCTTATATCCTACAATGACGTGGTAACATATGTCAAAAGCTGTCTTTTTCTATTTCCACAAGTCGCTTGAAAATATGGAACTGGAACCGACGTGCTCTATGTTCTCGATCTATCTAATGACCTTTCAAAACTAGATCACAAGGAAGACGTACTACAGTAAGTGGATGAAGTATGTTGATTCTTTCAAAGTCTGTGATATACTTCCTGCACTGCTTGCCAACTATGAAAAGAACTACAAAGATGTGGACGTTTCAAGCTAGATGTAGATGAATTCAGAATTTTGGAACTCAACTTCAAGCCATCGGTATGTGTTGGCAGTATACGTTGGAATCGTTAAAAGATTCGCAATTTGGCTAAGTTATTTGAATCCATCACATATATTCTCAAAACAACAAAAACTGTCAGTTTTGTAGTATGATCAAATATCCAGAGCAAGAAAAGTTCATTGTCGAGATGGTGGTGTTGAAGTGAGAAATGGAAAAATCTTTGAGCAAATCGGCCGCATATGATTTGCTGATATTTAAATTTGGTCATGAGATTGTTGATGATAAGACGGAATGGGAGAAAAAGATGAAAATTCATTCAAGAAGTGTATCTCTAGATTTATTGAAATGGTTGGCGAGGATTTTTATGAGACATTGATTTTTTATTTGAAAGGAATCAATTTGCTAGATCGTCGTGTCAATTGATTGCAAATTTGCATTGATGCATGTTTGCTGATATGTGCAATTACAAAAACTAATAGTGTGACTCGTTTTGTCAATGCAGACGAAATGTTCCTTCAATTTGATCCGAACGAAACGCATTTGATTGTCTCAACGAATGTCAAATGACTCAGTTCCAACCGAGCAAAGTATGCTAAGAAAGTTTGCACAGTTACGATGGCATGTAAGATGTTTCAATCACAAATCATCGCTCCTATGATTATCATGATTGGCCAGCTTAATTGAACGCTGTCACGAAGGTTTGTTTCTTGGAACGGACCTAGCAAATTTACATTTCATCCAAAGCATTGGATGGACAAACAAGTATGTTGCACTTATTTGGAATAATTGCACTCGTGTTATCCAGATGAAAAGATTGTATTGATATGGGATAGCGCATCAAGCCATTTTTTAGATCAAGTCATGGAATAAGCTACAGAATTGAACATCACTTTGACAAGCATTACTCCAAGATGTAGATGTTTGATTCAAATATGCCATTTGATTGCAAACAAGCGAATAAAGCAAACTTTCAAATAACAATACATGTCATGAAATATATCGTATGATCTTGAACTTGGTGGAAATACAAAGTTGATCAAAAAGACGTTCTATCGTGGCTCGAACAAGCAATCAAGGATGTAAATGACAACATGTCGACGCGTTCAGAGTTTGCAAAGGCTTTTGCTGCATGTGGTCAGGATATTTGTCGTGAAGATCACTTTGAGTTGACTGCATACTGAAGTAATCACGATGAAAACGCCATCTATTAGTCTTTTCTTCACAATCAGCAATCAATTGACCTAGAGTAAGATTTTTCCTGCATTTTTTCATCATTTGCGACCTGTTTTGAATTGTAATAAAGCCTTTTTGTCCTTTTTGAATTTTGAAAATAGTGACTCAAAAGTTTACAAAATAATCATTATTTGGGGGCAAAATAGTTTGGTATTACCGTTAAGACAATCTCTATCTGAAAAGATCAAAAGCATTATCTTGTGAAGTATGGTATGGGGACATATACAAATAGTCTCATTCTTAAACACCAGTATCAAGTAAGCATACAATAATCTTAAGGCGATTGCGAATCCAACCTGATCATGTGTATTACTCTAAATTTAAAAAAGACTACATAGGGAACATAGACAACATCCATGTCTGAAAAAGATGTTAAAACTAATTGAAGTACAAATCATGATATTTATGATCAACATTCCTTCATGATAGCACTTATACATGTGATAATTAAACTTGAGAAGTATTCAGTTCAAAGACATAATTGAAAACATTAGATAGATTTTCTTCTAGAGGTTGATTAAACGTTTGCAAAACTACATAGTACGTTATGTTGTCATTAAAATGTAATCATAAAATTAGTGTAGTTAGTTACAAAATTGATACGCATTAAAAGGCTTAAAAATAAAATAATTTAAAATCTAATGAGATTCAATCAGATGTTTAATATATTCATGATAAAATATCAAGAAATAGTAATATGTTTGAATCCATGAAATATTAGAAATTTATGTTGTAATATTCTAGGGAAAAAAATATTTGAATTTATTGAAGAATTTTGTTGCACATATAATACTGGAATGTTAATAAGGTAATAAAATCCCAAACTTTTATAAGCAATTGAAAAGAATGTTCTAAAAAATTGTATATCTTTACAACAGAAATTTATAGCAATCATAAATAAATATTAATTATTAAATGTAAATTAAAAGAATGGTAAAGATTTCTCATATATATCTAAAGTATTAGAATTTTATTTTTTGGTTCAAATTTCTTTTGGTCCAATTTTACAAAAGACAAATTTGCATAAAATCTATAATAATTTTTTTTCAATGTTTATTTCATCATATTAGAAAAAAAAAACAGATGTATTAATTCATCGCATTACCATGAAGTAATGATTTTTTTTTGTTGCATTTACAATATATTTAGGAAGCTGCAGCAGCACCTAGGAACGTAACAATGCTATGATATTAATTGTTGTCCAATGACATAGAGACGTAGACTGAATGATTTGAATAGATTTATACAAAAATGCTTCATTAAAACCCTAAGTCATGAAGCTCTGATTATTCTTATTATATCTAAACATACTAACTATTTCTTAACGATGAACTAGATTTATAAACATGAAAAAAATCAAAAAAATCTCAGATGTGTGTTTGCATCATATGTAAAATTTTCTTATAATAAAAAAAATCTTCCTTCCCTTTTTTTCCTTTTAATTGAATACATAATTGTAAATATATGATATACATATATTACATGAAGAATCATTACATACAATTACTAATAGTTTTTCATTTTTCACAAAACGAGATGGTGATTTGTTATAAAATTTGAAATGGATGAGAAACAAAAATACATTGAAAGTGATCAAATTGAAAAATGTCCAGCTGTTAAAATGTAATCTTTTATTTTTAAATTATATCTATTCAGATCATTCTTTGTATAAGTGATATATAGTACATAACATAAATTGTTAGACAAATAGTTCTTCATTTTAATAAAAAGTGTTCAAAATCATTTCAATACTTTAACTTTTCCTATTGATTCTTGATGATCTGATTTTTCAGAAAGCTTATGAGGAATATGAAAAGATTCATGTTAGGCAAAAAATGATATCAAAGCTGCAAAGTCTTGTACAAACATTAAGGTTTCAACGTTAACACTTAGAAACACTCTTTTAATTTTAAACATTATGGTATAAATCGATATAAAAACTAGTTCAATCACCATGTTTGAAATTATTTTCATATATTAATAATAATAATCTTCAAAATTTTCATTTTCATATAGAAAATTTTTTATTATTAAAATTTCACCAAATATATTTACAAAAAAAATATATGATAATATTCAATCAATTAATATGTCCACATGAATATTTAATTTCATATTTTTCAATATAATAATATTGCAAAAATATTTTTTGATAAAAAATATTTTTAATTAATCAAAAAATAGATTTATGTGAATATATTTTGAAATTTATTTTCATGATTAAAAATTTCATTTCAGCTGAAAAAATTAATTATATTGTGTTA